ATTATTATGTTTCATATTAATTAAAAAATTAAAAAATTAAAAGTTTAGTGAAAGGATATAAAATAGAGATGTTTTAAAACAGAAAGATTTATGTGTGAAGTTTGAAAGTATGAAATATTGATGGCTCAGTATTTCCAGAAGGGATGAGAACATTTAAGTAAGTTTATTGAATGTCTGAACACAATTATAGAGATACAAAATTGTTATTATAATAATAATGGCTGCAGCCAAAATTTTTAGTCCACTCTTCTGGCTTATACCATACACCCAGTTACAGACAGATACTTGGGTTGCCTGTTGGGTTGCTGTTGAAAAATGGCTTTTATGTTTCTCTGTGTTATGCAAATGTTCATTTTAGTGGTTCCTTTGCCCATAACACAATAATCTGACTCAGGTGGAACTAGGTTTTACCTACCTGTACCAGGCGGGTACAGTCCAGTAGAAGGCAGTTTTGGTAAGCATGGTTTGAATCCTAATCAACTTATTTTCTGTCTATAGGTATGTGATATGACCCCTACCAACTGAAAAACTATAAATCAGGGTATGAGGAATTGGGAAAGAAAGGCTTCTGTTCACAGCCTTTATTTGAGACAGACTTAAGAAAATTGTTTTTAAAATCCCTTTCCTGGGCTATTTCCAGTCTACAAAGAGGAGGGTCCACACAGGGAGAGGTTTCTTCCAAGCTTCCAAGTGAAACCAATGTTGGACAGGACCTTCTGACTTGTTCTCCCATAGATGTAACTGATAAATAAAAAACTAAGGATCCAAGGGTTCCCCTCAAAGCCCAGCTGAACCCTGAAGATCAGATCCTCAGCTGACCTTGAGAAAAACAAAAACTTGGTTAATTTGTGCCAATTGTATGGTCTTAAACACCCAAAAGAAAACTATAACCAAAATTTAATGGAATCAATATATTTCTTTTAGAGTCTGAGAAATTGTATTTCCCAGACATTAGGCTCAAAAGGTCATACAGGTATCATTTTTTAAAGCTCACAAAAATTTTCTCCTTGTTAAAAAAAATGCTACTCTAATATAAGACTTACAGTAGCATCTCCCCCTCCCCTTCTCCCTCCACTAATACCTCACTGTCTCCTTAGTATGAGATCATTATACTATGCTAATCAAGTGTTGTCTCTGGGGCTGGAGAGATGGCTCCACAGTTAAAAACACTGACTGTTCTTGCAGAAGACCCGGGTTCGAATCCCAGCGTCCACATGGCAGCAAACAACTGTCAGTAACATCAATCCCAGGGGATCTGACAGCCTCTTCTGACCCCCATGGCATTGCATGACATGGGTGCACTTACCTACATGCAGGCAATACATGCATACACATAAAATTTAAAAAATTATAAATAAAATATTTTAAAATATCAAGTGTTGTCTCCAAAGATTCTTATAGCATCTCCTGACTGAACAGCTGTATGACTGTCCAAGCCACTACCTGAGACAAAATTAAGGCTGTATTCAAACACCATGCCACCTGAGGACTCCTTTTTATGTCTTTGGGGTCTGGAATGATAGAAACCAGAAGTTCCCTGTGACAGATGTCTCATTCCTGCCCCACTGTTAAGTTGGCCGCATCCATTATCTGGGATCTGTTTCCCACCACAACCTTGAACAAAAATGGTCCCAGGAAGAAAAGACCATAAATCCCTGTTTCCCAAGATGAGCTTAAACAAAGAGTCTCAGGAATGTCAAGCCTGTCCCTGACATGCCCTATATAATCTCTCACTACTCCCTTCCCTCCTTTCAGTAGCCTACATCCCATGGAAAGGTTGCTGCCACTGGCTGTGCTGAAGGTCTGATGCTGTTTCTCTCCTGACTCTGAGACTCTACTCTCTTTCCTACTCTCTGAATCCAAAATAAAATGAAGTTTTAAAATTAAGAGAAAAAACTCTGAGATTCCATGTGCAAGCCTCGACTTTTACCTTAAAGGTGAATATGTTACATGAAGTCTGGTTTCCCCAAAAACCTGACATTAGAGACTTCTTTGTTTAAAAAAGATGAAGCTAAAATTTTCCATTTGGACTCTCATAAATACATAATTTAGCTAGAAGCAGTTCACTAAGGGAGGTCAGAGACCAGGAACCTGTTAGGCACGCATCTTCCTGGGTGTCACCTGAGACCTGAGTCAGAGTTTCCCAGTGTAGGGCCTGGGTCTCTAGATTGTAACCAGCTTTGTTGTGTGTGGGCCTGGGTCTCTAGTGTGCAATCAGCTTTGCTGAGTGTGGGTCCTCCATCTCTAGGTTGTAACCAGCTTTGCTGAATGTGGGCCCTGTGTCTCTAGGTTGTAATCAACTCCAGGAGTGTCTGAGTACTGCCAAGTCTAGGAATTACTATGATGGGCACATTAAAACCCCAAGCTCACCAAGCCCCTTGGCCTGTTGTTTGGAAATTTCTCAGGCTCTGAATCCCAAATGACAAAGGAGCCAAGAAAACAAATCACATCTGTCATTCAGTTCAGGCTTCACATTAAAAGCTCCACCCCCTCCTCAAACCATTCAAATCAAGCTTGTCATCAGCAGCATGATTTGATGACTGTAAAAGAGAAACATCAGAGGTTCCTACTCAGCTTCCATTGCAGTACTCACACCAAGGCATCCTGGGGTGAGTTTTCCAGATGTGGGTGATTAGAGCAGGATTTGGGGGAGTCCTGACAGCAACTTAAATTGTTTAAATTAAGTAGGAAACAAGAGTAAAATTATATCACAAAAGAAAGCTCAGTTTGCTAAAAATCAGCAAAATTAATAAAGCCCATATACATAATTCACATAAACTCTATACAACGGTAATAGGGTAGAGATTCATGAGAACCTATAACTAGGAAAAGTTAATCATCATTTTCCTGTTCCTGTACTAAAGAATCTGTACAACATTTTTTCAAATATTCTCTGATGTTAGGAAAGAGAAAGCCTTCAGTGGTGTATGTTCAGTGAAGTGTACTTTTCTCCAAATATTTTCATGCCTTTCATTAATACTTACAGTACTTACACATAAGAGATGAAAATCCAATGATTAGAATTCACATCTCAGTTGATATGAAACATTTTGAGACTTATTCTTTCCTATAAAATGTGCATTAAAATATTTCACTCCACAATAATGGAATCACTTGCTTGGAGTAAATAAAACT